TTTATTTCAAATATATTAAAAATATACTATCCATATATTTAAAATATATTTTAATTACATGACTTTATTTGAAGTCATTTTTAATGTATTTCAAATATATTAATAATTTATTTTTCTAGTATAACAAATATTTTTCTAATATATTTTAAATGTATAACAACTATACTAATTGTATATATTTTACCATCCACTTTAATATATTTCAAAAATATTAGTTATATATTACAAAATATATTGCAATATATTTCTTGGTCCCATAAATGCTATATTTCAAATACATGTGGTACTATATATTTCAAATGCATTTTAAATATAATGTTTTTTATATTTCAAATATATTTTTCCATGTGGGCTGTACTGAAGTCCCGGGTGCGAATATTACCAAAGACTAATGGTTCTTTGCTATAATGATAATTAATTGACTCGGTCGCTTAGCTGTATGTATGCCTATATAGAAACGAGAAAATCGTCCATCCAGTGAGAATATGATGAAGAACTCTCTAAATTAAAATTCATACATACCATTTTCCAATAACAGTTTATTTGTGTCAAACTATGTTAATGATTAACAACCCACGGATAGAAGTATTTCAAAAGATGGTAAAGTTTTGTTGTAAGACATTGAATAGTAGTTTTGAAATCAAATGAGTTGATCACGTAGTTTACGTAATTCTTGGGTAAGAAATTAACATATTCAAGCCCAAGGCCTAAAAACATAAAAATAAGGTTTTAAAATTTGTCATAATATATTTTTCCTTAAATCAGCTCACGAATCAGTAAAATTGGATCATGGAAACGAGGTGTTAAGTAGTTTTTAAATTATTGAAACTTGTATTTTTTTACGCCTTAAACATAGTTATATCAAATATTCATTCTAAACATGATGTAAAAAAATAATAATTCATTTATTAACGATTTGTACAATAAAAGGTTACGGAGAAAACTCCAAAACTGTAAATTAAAAACTCTCATGTTATTATTATAAGGAAAAAAACTTGTTTATATGGTTTGCTTGTTTATGGAAATATGTAGATCAGATTTGGCAAATTTATTTATTTCATCCTAGACTATTGACGTTTGAAAAACACTTTTTAACTTCTTTGTAGCAGCAAACCTAAGAACTCGTTTAATCTAATTATATAAGAATTGAGAATATAATTTTTTTCATTGTTTACAATATTTCCTCATCTATCTGGTAAGTAAAATGTTAAATATCTTGTACAATTGTTTTGCTAATATATTCAAGCGCCATATTGACAATATTATGTCTATAATTTAGAAACAACATTAAACATCTTATACAAAAAGCATAAAACCATTTGCTCTTATGTTGTTATGTAATTCATTAGAAGGTATAAATTTATATGTTTTTGTATTATTATTATTATTGACTTTGCAAATAAATTATATCCACCCTACAACACTTGACAGCGAGTTCCCTGCAGTAAAAAAGCAGTTTTATAGGACTAAAGGAACAAGTTTATGTCTGAAGCCATATCGCCATATCAAACACAGTTGAGTCAAGATACAAGCTTAGTTTTGGGTTAAAGAAATCCTTTCAGCTTCCAAAAAGACTTCTTTGGGATTTATATGAATAAAGAACATATTTACTATTAGTGCTTATACTATGGTGTTGATTTCATAGCCACTTTTATTTATTATAACATGGATTAAATTTGTATGTTAAATTTATTTGTATTGGCTTAGCTGTTGGCATGTATAAATAAATAAATTCATTGTATTTATTTATTGTTTGTGAGGACAACCATTGATAGTCTGGTTGAAAAATAATGTTTCAATGATTCAGGACATACAAATAAATCTGAGTCATTCAGCAATTGCATAAATGTTTCATCAAACTCAAACTAGAATCTGTGTTTTAAATAGTATTTCAGACTTTTATACATTTACTACTACTGTATTGGTAGTATTCTAGCAACAGACATTTTACTCCATACAAGCTTTACACCCAAATGTTGTGTGAAATGATGTATTGCCTCAAATATTGTGGCGTCCCACTTCATGCAGCAAATTACTTGTGCTTTCACAGTGTTACGATTGTACCTTATGTATAAGGTTATATGAAATGTAAACCACATAGGTTTGTAGCTTGTAACATATATGAATCATATTATAAAATACATTGTTGTTCATTAAATAAGATTTAGTGTTGATTTTATTGTAGTTCAACTACTACTAACCAAGGTGTTAGTGACACCTTTTTATTCGTTAATTAAATACAGTAATTATAAATAATAACTGATTTTTGTGGATTAGCAACATTAGTAGGAAATTCATGTGAAAAATAAGTTCGCATTTCCGAAAACCAAGAGTCATAAATCAACGGACCAGTGAACATTGCAGAAAGGCGGGAAAGAAAGATAAATGTGCTGAATATAAAGGGTTCGTCAGCACAACTGTGCTTAACGCTGATTTAGCAGTTTGAAAACAGTTTAGCTTGATGCTATCATCTTGTCAGTTATTTGATTTTCTTCAGTTAATGTTCTGCAAATTTGTTTAAAACATAGATTTAAGAAAGGAAATCTTAAGTTAACTAAAAATTAACAACAGGTGTGAAATATTGGTGTGCAGTTTTATATCATTTATGTTTAAAGTTAAGCTTTAAAGAAGAATATATATGTTTATATTCCTATTTATTAAAGTACTTAAGTATATCCACCCAGTCAAAATCAACTCAAACTCCAAAAAAGATTGTTATTGCATTCAATAAAAAAATAAATAAACGGTATCAGCAATAAAACACTTTTTCCCATTAGCTTGTCAACAACCCTTATCAAATGGTGAAAGAAACTATGATATTTTACGGGAAAACTCACAACAGTTGCGAGAACTTTTTCACCGTAATTTGTACAACAGTTGGGGTTGAGCCATTTTGTTTGGAGAGAAAAATGAATATAGCTTACTTTTTTCTTCAAGATCGTTTGAGCATTTTTTGTAAAGAACCATGTTTTCATTATTCCAAGAGTTTATATAAGAAAATCACTATTACAAATTAAAAAATAATAAAATTACTTCTATCTTTATCATAGATGAGGATCCACATTCCACTTTTCATCAAAATTGAACCGAAGGTAAGATTTGTAAGCACATAGAAGTCTGTACACATCCACAAACAAAAATACATCACTTCGAAAACCAATGTTTTGGGGTTCAGGGCTAAGACGGATCCACTAATTCTAACTAGAAACTTTGGACAAAAACAATATTTTATCCGAATACTACTATGTATAGAGGGAGAAGGTAAAAATTGTACGTTGTAATGGTTTTTTTTTTATTTAGTCTATATTAATATATATTTATAAAAGAAAGCTGTTTTGTTATCTCTCAAAATTCTTGTCGAATTATATGTCAAAAGGTCTAATTGGTCAATTAACAATGTGGAGTATGTTAGTTGAATAAACAAAAGAAACTTTAACAGAGCAAATATGAACGTTTTGCTTTATGAATTATTATAAAACTCACTAAACAATGGCAAAAAGGAGAAAACTTTAACTTACAGTCGATTCATTAAATCCGATGTATATATTTTTTTAAGTACTGCCTTACATAGAAATATACGAGACTAATAAAATTATTTCTATTGGATTGCGTGTAAGCAATTTACAAGTAACCCATGTCCTGAAATTCCAAATCTTGTTTTGTATGCGAATGATAAACAAAGGTTGACAAGGTTGATTATTTATTTCATATGTCGTTGGACAAATTTGTTGCGGAATAAAGTTTGATTGAAACCAACTATGGATAAAATATTCGGTCGTAACATTTTCAGGCGAAAGTTTTAAAGGCTAATGAATTAAAACCCGTCCGAATCATCAGTAAAACGTCATGTCTCTAACATCAAAGAGGCATGGTGCAGAAAGTCACAAGTAGTAAATGAGATAGAGAGAGACGGGTAGAACAAGAAGAGAAAAAGGAAAACCCAATGCTAGTTTGAAATCCTTTGACCTAACCAGTTGTGTTTCCTTTCATTTAACATTACTTTGAAAGTAAAAGAGTTTTAGTTTGTAAACCAAAATGTTTAGAGTGTTTGGCAAATAAAAAACTAAATATCGGTAAAAAATATTAATTAAGAATATTTTGTAAGATTTGTAAGGTTAACGCTTTGCAATATTAACATTGCAATACCGAGTTTTTTTTTTACCAAACTCAAGGTTTAAGTACTGTGATCTAAACGTCAAATCATTAAATTGAAATCTGTATAAAACTGAAAGACAGGGTAGCTACTTCTTAGGAATTTTCTAAAACAATAAAACCCTCTGATAATTGTACTTTCTCACCCTAAATAGTAATCCACATCTCTGATTCCATATATAGACCAAGCCGGTCTGCTCGGGTGTGGTTTTGTCCTCTGGTAATAAATAATGACGGCTTTTGTTGTCTGGCTGTTTTATCATATTTCCTCACTATTCAAAGACAAATGCTCACGCCACACATATTCTAGTGTTTTTTCTGTGGCGAGAGTAATTTCTGTTAATTGTTTTTGCTGTCCAATAAAAACAAAACTTTGTGATATTGGTCTTATATTAATATTTATTTTTCAAATTTCCCAACAAACATCATTCAAACTTCTTTCCTTGTGAAATAATTAAAATTCAATATGTCAGTCGTTTGGTTTGCTCATGGGTTAAACGATACTCTTTCATCCCAAACCAAAAATTGAAATAATTTTCTAATATAACAGGTCTTAAAGAAAATACTTTTTATGCTTTAGCCGGAAATACTTTTTAGCTGGTTGCCCGACCATGAAAATTAGCCTGTGCAAATATACGTTTTGTTTTCCTAAAGGTTTAACTACATTTTTCAAAATGGTAATTTCTTTAAGTGTTTTGGACTTCACAACAAATATTTTAATATGAATATAAAGTCAAGTTCAAGAAGCGATAGCTCCCTGGGTTCACAAGTTTTATGATAGTTGATAACTTTTGACCAAACTTTTAATTGCTGCTATCAGTAAAGCCAACCAGTTGTACTGTTGTCATCAAGATGGCAACATTTATTCGGTTGGTTTTAGTTTTACTAGCTATAACCTTTTCAGCATTTGCCACAACATCTGAGTAAGTAAATGTCAAAACAATAGGTTTGTTAGTAACCCATTCAAAAAATCCGATGGATTTACAATAATAGTATTATTTTTATAAGAAAATTGGTACTTTTGACAGTCAACATCTCTATTAGGATTAGCTAAACAAAAACCTTTAGTACAGCAAAGTAGTAGTAGTAGCTATTCAGCAAAGTATTTTTCCTACAGTCACCCGACAAAGTTGGCTTCCTTGTACTGTTTATAGTACAGAAAGCTGCTAATTGCTGCATATTTATACTTTGCCGTACGGTTTATACTTTGCCGTACGGTTTATACTTTGCCGCACATCAGGATTCCAACGAAACAACACAAAACAGCGTGGATCTATTATGCACGTAATCCGTGTACCCTTGGAAATAGGTTGGCAACACATAAAGATAATAATACTATGAGCAGCTGATTGACTATTATAACTACGATTTAACCTGTCATTTCGTGTTTAAAGTTTCGGTATTTCTGAACTTTCTGGACTTTTCTTTTAAACGTTTTTAAAAAATACCTACGATCTTAATAAACAAGAAAATACCTTTAAAGCATTTTTTTTAGGCGCGGAAACCACTTCAAATTACAAAAACATACGGAACTATATTCTCAAAACACGGAGCACATTTCTTGCCGAGGAAAAATAGCGGCGGAGTGATACGGACCGCGGGTACTACTTTCTCTAGGGCACCATTTGTGTTGCCAGCTGAACCTAAACGTGTTGTATAGTGTTTGAAAGACTAATTATTTATATGCTTTATAGTGACTGTAGGAAAAATATAATGTGTAACACGAGTGAAAAAGGCCTTTGCTGCACTCGAGATCATAAACATTGCTCTCGTGTGCAGCAAAGTGCCACTTTCACCACTAGTTACACAAATAACTATTTATTAAAATCACTCTGAAAAAGTTTTCAAACTAATATTTACTTGTTTATGGTTTGCTGTGGAGTTTAATAAGGTAATACATCAAAAGAAAATCTTGAAATGTTTACGTGATTTAATAAATATTTAAGTTTACCCTGACATAGTTAGTTGGGAAAATACGTTTTTAAAACTAAAAATCTTTATTTTATTCATTGTCTACGCTTACTACACAACCAGTTAAATGGAACATTATGAACACCATAATGTACGCCGGTTGCAAGAAGAAGAAGGCCTAGTATCCCAATAACAAGAAATAACAACAAATAAAATAATAAGAATTGAGATGTTGTAACCCTCTTTGAATTGAGCATTAATTCTTCAACATTTACAGTTAGGTTATGGTTGTACATTTGCTATATCTACATGTCAAATCAATGATTTTCGTTTTTAAAATGTATATACGTTGCCTATCTCTCATTTACATAGCATTCACTTGAATTTAGCGGATTTAACTGCGACCCTCTTTTTGAAAAGACCCGAATACAAATAAAAAATTCTGAAACATTGAGGTGTTTCCATTACAGGGTCGAACACAAGGTGGTGATAGTTGGTGCGGGCATCTCAGGGTTTGCAGCAGCAACAACCCTTTTGGAAAACAACTTTACTGACTTTGTTGTTTTGGAGGCATCAGACAGGATTGGCGGCAGGATTAACACCGTCCAGTTCGGTTCGTAAAGGATGGTCCAATTTTAGTTTCCTATTTTTTTTTTTTCAGGAAAAAAACACGATCATTTTTACATTTTCTTACTTATTATTTGGTTAACATAATCTTTGGCAATTTTCATTACAGTGAAAAACTTTACTAGGCTAGTAAACTTTACTAGTAAAAACTGATTTGGCCAATATGGACGTCCTCCACTTCTGTTATTTTAGAGGTAGTTTTTGTTTACAAGATTTATATATAACCCGCACGTAACTCGTTGAATGTGTGCTCTCAGTTGTTCTAACAATGCCTCACGTGTATGATATAAGGTTTATATTCTACCCATGTTGAGAAATTCCAATTATTGACATACCCAGAGAAATTAAAACTTGCTTTATCAGAGAAAAGATTTTCTTCAAAAATTCGGTCTGTTATTCTGTTACCCACTCTGAATACATTCTTTGCTGTCAATAATATAGGGATTTCAGTTCTTAGAATTACTGGCTCATGTTTAATGTTAAATTCCAAAATCCCATGAAAATTGTGCTTAAGGGATGCGTACGATAGGCTTAAAGTCTGCGAATGGCGGAACATTTTTAATTGTGGCTACACTATCACTCACAGTAGTAATATTTCCGGCTGATCATATTCCACTACGATAAAAAAGCCTTCGTCTATCTCTAATTATTCCAGTTTCCTTAAATGCCTTTACTATGTTTCAAGCTTTTCCTTCGATAAGAATAATAAATTAAATGTATTTGTTATTTAATTTCGGTAAGGAAGTTGTATTGAATTTTTCTTTCTGTAGATCACTTGATCAAACTTAACACGGTAGGCAGTGTTTAAACTATTTATTTTACTATTGTGTTGCAATAGACTGACCTTCTATTTGTCTATGATGTAATACAAATATACAACAATGATCAGCTGTGCAATTGTCAGTGCTATTAAAATGAGTAACTGAAATTTTATCATCCTATTACAAGATACATTCTGATAAAGCCTTTATGACTGTGGGGGGAGAGGGTCGTAACCCTCGTTATGACGTTTCTCGAACCCCTTTAAAACCAACAGGTCGATAGAAATGAGTTTAAATGAGATCAATGTTCCATCTAGAAGGTGTACCTGTAGACAAAGGTGCAGAGTTTGTCCATGGTCAGGAGGACAACATCGTCTACGACCTGGTGAAGCCCTACGGTCTGTTAGCCTCGTACGCTCCGCTCGCCTCGTCAGAGAAACACATCTTTGCTGACGTCACAGGTCGTCAGTACAACAACACTCTGGTATATTCGCTGGTGGAAGAGGCTCGTGAAATTTTCTACCAGGACTACAGTGAGCACAATAGCTCAGACGGTTCTGTAGCTGGCTTCTTCTATCCCAGGTGTAGTATTGGAAAAATTAAAAAAATCATTTGAGTATTGCCTCATCAGAATGATGATAAGTTGAATCTCATAAGTGTTTTTGTGGCTTAATACTAAGCTTTAGTTTTTCATGTGAAATCAATAGTAATAAAAAAGTAGGAACTAATAGTCAAAGGTGTTGGGTCTTCAGGGGGCCTTTCAAAACAGCCCAGTTCCTGTGACTTGTGAAACGAAATTGGCTCACATGGGACTTTTCAATGAGTTGTGCTATAAGACAGAGTACCTGTTTCCACTGTGTGAATCTACTAGTATTCGAAATTCTCCATCAATATTATTAGTATTGTTATCAGTTACAATAGTTTTATCTTCCAAAGTCATTATTTAGTGTCAATTTTCTCAGCATTCTCTTAATATTCTCGATTTAAACCGTCAGTTCTCTGTGTTTTCAAATCAGGACACTCAGTAATCTATGTTATTTTACTCAGGATTAACGTCGTTGTTGCCATTTAATATTCTCAGGAAACTGTGTCATTATTATCAGGGTCCAACATCAATAGTTTCAGTATTTCAGTACTGACTAACATGCTCTCTCTATACTTTCAGCATTTCAGAACATCTGTCAGTATACCGAAGATTGTCCCTTTCACACTCTTTCTATGGGACGTTATTATTATTTATGATCATTATAACATATTTTATTGACAACCAACAGCTTTATAGAGTTAAATATAAGTTAGTTTCAAATTATTGAATGTTTCTCAAACTATACACCACAGCCCACATTAAATTCGCCAATCTACAAATCATACATAAATTCCAGTGGTTACAATTTGGTTTTGCTATACAAATACATCCGGTGTACCTACAACCGCATACACTCCTTATATAGAGTCTATTAGAGAAGAGATACACCGGTTTTAGAATTTGACCTATGCAACCTATGTCAAGTAGGGTGGGGTTAAGTTAGGTAATGTTAGTTTACATAGACTTCTCTCCATCGAAAAATGTTTATAGTGGCTTAAAGACCAAAATATACTACAAATCTAATTATAATCGTGTACTTTGACCAGGCTGCAGGAGCTGGTGACAGCAAGTGAAGTAGACGCTGAGCTATGGGAGGCTGTCAACCAAACTGTGACAACCAATGAGATGGTGTACAGCGCTGCAGACAGCCTTGACCAGTTAGGGGTGCGAGGGGAGGGGGAGTATGTGGAGAATGGGGGTGATCAGACCTTGAAGTGGACCTTCCGTGGGTACAAGACCATCTTTGAGATACTGTCGGTGAGATAATAGATATCTGAACAACTGTATATAGCAATGGAACTTTTTTAAGGGATAAATGTTAGAATGGTTGACGTAGGAGGCTTGCCAAGTGCGTAAATTGTATATAGACTTTAATAGATGATTGGACATGAGTTGCACCTAACATTATGTCTACAGTTACTACGTGGTAAATAACAAATCCTACTTCAGTAGAACAGGTTTTAATGAAACGTTATTTTAATATGAAACTGTAAAAACAGTCGAAAATACTCTAAAATGGATCTCCTCACTGGTCGTTTGTTATCGATTCTATCTTGAGAAGAGTCAGAACGTGTTAAATAATTCGATTCCGTGTCCACCTATCCTTAACCATTGGGCCTAAAGCTAATATTACTAACAAATCTGTCATCTCATTACCTTAAATACATCCTTCAGTGTAGGAGTCGTTTATTAATCTAACAAAGTAATAATTAAAATTTATAATGACGTTGGTTTTTATTATTTAATTGGACTTTATATTATTTATACTTTTCATTTGATGACGGTTGGAGTTTATGCACCTACAGAAACGTTGTGTAGTTTAAAACACAAGACACGATGGAAAAGTCAAACAATTTTAACATAAAAAGTAATAATTGTTGAAAAAATGTTCTATATCATAGTAGATCTGATATGTTTTGTAGTATATGTTCTGTTTGGTAACTCCTAGAACAAGTTTCCCAACGTCTCCGAGGAGCTGCCCATCATGGAGAAGGTTCTGTTCGGCAAGGAGGTGCAGGGGTTGGACTATGGTCAGGGGGAGGGGAAGGTAGTATTGAGATGTACTGATGGTAGTAGCTACACAGCTGATCACGTGGTCATCACAGTGTCACTGGGGGTGCTCAAGAAACACATGGAGATGTTCAACCCTACCTTGCCACGGAGTAAGACTAATGCTATCCAGGTGAGAATGTGGTATTGTTGAGACTAACTTAAGGAACGTGGTTAGATGCATTGATAAGTTTTGGGAAGCAACCCTAATTACAAGTACAGAAGGTACTCTTGAAAAAAAAAAACAAGCTAATAATTTGGCAGCCCTGTTTCCTTTACTTTATTGCCGATCAGCTGATATGCATACTTGCATTGTTGTCAAGACAGCTTTATGTTATAGGGAGTTTATTATGTTTATTTATTGAGAGTTCATTTGCAAAACCAACCGGCTTAACATAGTTTGGACAAAAAATAACTGAGGAATAGTTCCTTTCTTGCTTTACCCACAGGTTTTCTCCATAAATTTACCGTCCTTTAAATTGAGAAAACTGTAGGTATAGCATGAAAGAAATTAGCAGTTACTCTTTGTCCAAACTATGTTTAGTAATACATCGTTTAATTATAAAACAAATTTACTCAATTTAATGCATCTTTCAGTTTTTTGTGAAATTTTGCATTAAATAGCCGCTATTTTTTACGATTGAAAAGTTCTTATTCACATTTTGCTAAATTATTTCAATCAAAATACGAAGAATGTTGCTAAATATCAAAGAATTAGCTCCAGTCGTTAAGGAGTTTACGTTTTTTGCGTATTTCCTGAGTGTACTATATGACCACTCTCCCTCCAGTAGACGTCTGTGAATAAAATATAACTTGATAGTTTTATTAGTGTTGAAAAATTTAATTTGGTATAGAATACAGTATTTACAGCATTGTACTTAGACAGTTATTGTTCAATAATGCATAAAACCGCTTATTCTGCACCAACAAATGGTTAATGAAAAGTTTTCTTGATAGCAGTAAGCAAAAAAAAACACTCCTAACTTTTGTTGTATTTTGCAGACTTTGGGAATAGGGTGTGTCGGAAAAGTGTTTCTCTTATTTCCAACTCGATGGTGGCCTGAAGATATCAACGTAATTGTTCCAATGTTTTCTAAGAAACAGCTTGAAGACTTCAAGAAAAATTCCACCCATGTAAGAAATGTGTCATGTTATATTAGAGATACTAGTCATGTAGACAATAAAATAACTTCCTTTGTTAGAGCAAGTTGAAACTGAACTTGTACCTTTTCTGGCTAAATATTGTTGTAATCTTTCAATACGCTCTAAGATGACACTTTACTGCCCTAGATTTAGTTGTTAGTACACTATGCGTTAAACTAAACTATTGCTGTCCTTAAGGCTTTAGGTTGCACAGCTGACACCAGTAAGGAAGAAATTAACGAAAAATCTAAACTAATAAGTCCAATCAATGGTCGATTAAGATTTCGATATGCAGAATCGATATCTCGCCAAACTATTCATGCCAGCCGTTGTGCCATTTGCCTGCGCAATTTACCTGTTACTCCTTGTAGTTAACTGTTACCTTGTTATTTCTGTCATCTTAACCTATTACTTTTACCTTGTCTGTTACAATTATATTTACCTGCGACTATAACCTAGTATAACATGTTATGCCTCTGCAGGGTTACTGGGCCGCCTACACCTCCGGGTTCTGGCCGGTGATGCAGCATGAGCGTATGCTCTGTGCGTGGTTCTCAGGGGAAGCTTGTAGAATCATGGAGAAGTTGACGGAAGAAGAAGTCATCCAGGGTCTGCTTGAGCTGCTTAATGCTCTTGTAGGCAAACAACATCAGATTCCCCGACCTGAAGGAATTCTGAGGTAACTGCTCTAGTGCCTTAAGATAAAGCATACAATTAAAACCCAGACCCCTTTCGTGATAGTGTTTTGTTGAAAATGTCCCTACAGTTATCTGAATGTAGTTTACAGAGATATGTCAGTAACTTTTTTATGGTTTGAGCTGTCCTAGCTGCCTTTCATCATTGGGTTTTCAATTAATGGCTTAGGCTAAACAGCTAATATTACATGTAGGAACAAAGCTGCATAGGTTATCTTACTCGCATTTACATTCAGAATGGGAAATTTATATCTCTCCCCGTTGCAGAAAACCTGCTGACTAAGCGAATTTCCATTTGCTTGATTGGATTTTCACTCGAATGTATCAAAATTGTCAATTCTTTTTATACTACATAACAATGGGTTTAGTGAGTACTTAGGTTTGCAGCTACAATGGAAGTAATAATGTGTGGTTTTGGTAAAATAGTAATAGGTTAATTTGAAATAATATGCCAAAATTGATTTTTAAAAGTATCTAAAACAAGCAAACTCCAACAGTTTACTTATTCTCTAAAAGAACGACATGAGAGCTCCAAATTTACATTATTTTGGGGAATTCTCTCCAAATATATCGATCCCACAACAACACTTCAACATACTAAAGCATAACTTTTTCAATCCCTACAAACCGATATTCCGATATTTTAAGTTTTTAGGTTAAAAAATAAGAAAACAAATTGGTTACCGTTCTATTTAACATTATTCTTTTTGTTTGACAGGACTAACTGGGCCAGCTATCCCTACACGTTAGGATCATACTCTTTTTACACGCCAGATAGCGATCGTCTAAATGTAACTAGAAATCATCTATCCGAGCCTGTACTACATCATGATAAACCTGTAAGTATACTTCTTACTTCACTAAGGTGTAACTTTGAAGTAATAAGACCATTTTGTAAATATTTGGCTTACTCTATGTTCTTATAAAGTTGGAAGTGAAAATACTATGTTTCAACACTAGGGCTATCCTCCATGGATAAGAAAGGTTTAATTCTGTCCTTAACACATTTCAAGGTCAGGACATACATCAGTATGTCTTCATTAAATCTCGTAAACGAAACTACATGTGGCATTAATTACAGTTAGTTGCTTATGTCGTATTTATAAATACGCAGTATGTTGCTAAACTGGCTTTAATTTCTTCGCCTTTGCAGGTTTTACTGTTCGCTGGGGAGGCTACTCACCCTCACTACTGGAGTACAGTGCATGGCGGACTGGCAACAGGGATTAGGGAGGCAAACAACCTACTAAAGTATCTCCAGACTGCCTGAAATATAGGGAATTTTGTATACTAACCTAAGGAGTTTCTTGAATAATAAATCAATTTTTATCTTTTGAAAAATGCACATAAGACTTTTGAAACAAAGTACATAAAATTGAGTTTACAACATAATTTTGGTTCATTTGCTTCTGGTATTGATCAGGGGGTTAGAAAGGCCAACAACCTAATACAGGACTAAAGGATAGTACTGTCCCAAATTTGGGGGCATTGAGTGTACTACGTTATGGTAGTTCTGAAATATACAAATTGAAGGGGTCCAGAAAAAACTAAACATACTCCTATAAAACAAATTTCTTCTTGTTAAAATTGTTAAATATGATTTATTTATGTTATAATAAACTAAGAAAGCCACAGGGGGACATTAATAACAAGACCCTTGATAACAAGTCGCTCTTTATAACAAAAGTCATTTTTAAATTTCCTATAATTCGTTTTACCCCTAATCAAAATATTTTCTTACAAACCTTGGTAAGATGAAAACTGATAACATGTTTACATAACAACTACCATGGAAGTCTTGTTATCGAGGTTTTATGATTGTTAATATCTTGTAAATCTAAGTATAAGGTTCAATAAACAACATACCATTACTTTGATTTGTTTTCCTGTTACTCTGCAACAATAGGTAACTTACTCAATTTCATTCTCAATAGCAGAGCCCTAGGGGCGTTTTCAAAAATGTTAGGCAAGTTTGCAAATCTACGCAAAACGTTCTTTCCAATGAGACGTGAATGGATAAAATCGGTTAAGAAATGGCGGAGGAGTTCAACCGACAAAGTTTTATGTAGCATCCATCTGTTGTGCTGTTTCTATTGGTAGATTCATTGTAAAGATCTTTATAGTACCCAAAGGTTTACTTTGTTTTCATTTACACTCATATAAAGTACACATTATTGAGGTGTATATCGTATGAAGTAAAGTTTTCAACACATTTTTAGTGTTTGGAGTCTCCCAAAAGTTTCTTATGAATACAAAAATATCTTAGCATTCAGGAGTTTTGCTTTACGACAAAAGAATTCGTAAACTTTGGTGTTTTGCCATGTTACCAAGTTTATTTATGTCATTAAACTGTAGTTTGGATATTTTTTATGTTAGTTAAGGCTTGAATAAAACAAGAACTTGATCAAAGCAATTCCACCCTTATCATACAGAGCTAGAGCTTCTGGTGTGAATTAGGCTTCTCTTATACTGTTAGATTAATATGAACACAATAATTTGCAATCCATAATTGTGTTTATAAAAATCCAACCACAGTATACTAGCAAATTATAATTTACTGTACAAAGGAGAAAACATCTGTTGTTACTATTGAGCATATATTACACTGAAAATTGATCTATATAGGGGATATATTCCCCTATATTGATTAATTTTCAGTGTAATCTTTGCTCAATAGTAATAACTGATGTTCCTCTATATGAGTGGTTTTTACCATTGATTGACTGTAAAATAAAATAATGTGTTGTGGATTGCCAGGTTAAAATTTCCATCATAATAAATTGAAATTCCACTTGAAGTTAAATAATTAAGTTCGAAATTAGTTGCACATAAGAGTTTAGCTGCCTTTATATTGCTTTTACAATCGAATTCAACTATACCGAGCCATGGCTCGGTCCCCCGGTACTGAAGTACTAATAAGAGCAGCAACTTTGATTAAGAATTAATATTTCAAGAGTGTCATCGGTATAATGTACATTTAAAATTTAATTGGGGGACTTTGCACGATAATTATTGTTGTTATAACCTTGAAATTATTTTTTTCGATGGAGAGTCTAGATAAGTAAAGAAATATCCCCTTTTAAAAATAGGGTTACTAACCAATAACTTCTTATTATTTGGCGATTTGGGAAAATCAACTTTAGAGTTTTATTAGTTGTTCTATACGTAATTAAAAATACAGGGGAGCGAGCTGACGTAGTGGTTAGGGCGCAGGACTTCAGTCCCTGAGGTACCGAGTTCGATCCCCACCAAGTCACCAATGGATTTTATCTAAGTGATAATGCCGTAACCCCTAGGTCTAGCCTGAAGTAATGTGAAATACAATCCCAGGCTCGCGACTAGCGTCCTAGGGAAAAAAAAACTTTAAAATAAACGATATTTCAATTTTGGTTAATGTCAGTTGGTAGCTGCTTACTGGGTATTATATGGCAGACAGGCTATTATCGTGGCTTATACTTTTTTAAGTTGATTGATAGCCTAATTATTAGATATATGTAAGACACTAAGTACTGTTTATTTGACGAGACATATTACATTAAGACTATTTGCTCACATTAACTTAAATTATTCTGCTCTTATTTGTAGCAAGCTTTATACATTTCTTCATATCAAATCATTTCCACACATGAAGGCTTCAAAGTACTTTGTCCACTTTGGCCTCATGTCTTCACAAGATGGTACTGCAGACCAATAAACTTATGCTACATTCTGGATGCCTAAAGCAAGAAGAACCGCAAGATTGTGATAATTATATAGACACGACTTCTTTCTCCTCAATGAAGCTTGTTGTATGTATGTATGACGCGTATTATAGAAAGGGGTTTTATAAGATTATTTAAAATGTCTTACTAATAGGTTTGTAATAATATAAAAAATACGATGGGGAAATGGGGGAAATGAGGAAGATGACTTAATAAAAATATGACAAAAAATATATTGTTTATACTTTATTCCGGAGTATGAAATGCAATGTGAGTGCTGAAAGGCTCATAAAACAAGGCATTGAAAAACGAAATCGTTTCCTTTCATATAACAATAAGGATATCATTTACAGTGATTAAACCAAATTCAGAAATATTTTGTGAAGTTTTTCCATTTAGATAAATAGCGTGTTGATTAGTAACATCAGTTTTAAGTACATAGCATTACACATCCACCGCTATGTCCCCTATAGTGAGCCACAGACCCAGAGTTAGCCAGTAGAAAAGTTCATACACCACCTTTATACTAAACCCGTTGAACACACCCAATATACCCAAACTGTAGGCTACGAACTCCGCTGGACTCGTCACACTGTAGCGTATAACAGAGAGAACGCTGTCGTCCTTGTAGCTAATCTGAATAGTGGTATTCTTTAGCATCAATAGTGGTGCATCAGCATCAGGCTTATTCTTTTGATCGATAGAGTACAAAAAGCTCAAACAATCTAAAGGACAGTCACACTTGCATCGTTTGTCTTTGTACTCCTGATTGAAAAGAAATTTACTTTGTTTTTGACAATCGAATGCTTTACTGCTGCTACAGATAGGAAGGGAACTGTTAATAATAGCTGTGCCATAATGGACGCAGCTACACAGTTTCAAAGAACAGTTTATCTGACATTCGAAAACACAGTTGTTTTGCGTGTAAAACTCAAATAGAGACAGTGACCTCTCGTGTGAAAATACGCAGTTTCGCTTTGACTCTTCTACTTCAGCAAGATCTTTCCTCGCATTGGTAATGTTTGGTGAAACAGTTATAGCTGCAAATGTACATCGATGGATTCTCTGATTCGGCATGACTGCCATTGATGGGTAATCAAAACTGTTGTGTACAAACAAAATGTAGTTTTGAAATTCTATTTTCTCTGCTATAAGCAATTTTGTTTCTAGTTTATGATAATTGTATACGTTGGGGAAACTGATTGCAAACTCAATGTCAGTATAAGTGGATCAGCAAACTTCAATTCTAAAAGGTTATCTGTATACAGCAGTTCATTTTTGCAGAGATCATCATATATGTTTTCAGGATTACACAAAGACTCGTAAAAATCTTTGGGTTTATTTCCATCACTAGACTTAACTTGTCGAGGATTTTTCAAAGCGTTAATCGTCTTACACGTGTAAGTCCCATTTTTTTAAAATGTCTTAACCGTTGCTAGCAGTATTTCTGAGGAAGTTGAGCCATTGCGAAGAGTTTCCAAACGGTAAGGACTGGTAGGTAAGTCGAGATTGGATATTCGGAACGTACTCGGTCGTTCTTTTCCTAACCTTTCAATATATTTAATATAATCCACCCCACTGAAGACGCGGTTCGTTTTGAAATGTTCTGTATCTTCAAATATCGGAAAGTATAAGCTTTTAAATAAATTCGCTTCTTCTTTGTTCATTGGCAGTAAATCGAATAAAATAGGATATATATCATTTGAAATGATCATCATATTCAATTCATCCTCACTACACAGCCAAGACGTTCCGTTCTCAAGTGACATGCATCGTTTCAAGATCTCAAACCTGTTGTAGTCATCTTTCAGCAGCACAGACTCACAGACAGTGATGGCTGGGAAAGGTATGTCTTTGACATTCATGTAGGTCAGACTTTGTACTATCAGGGAGTTCCGAAAGTTGCTGTATGCGTCTTGGATGTAAATAGCGCTTACAAACAGTGCTACAATGTGGAATATTATGCTCACAGAGTTATACAGATCCGGGCAACGCCTCAAAAAAACACTTTGCAATCCAGACAATCCTATGTTAGCTTATGAAAATGTTCTTCAAGTATGATTTGGATATTTGTTTCTTCTTTTGGTTGACACAGTTCATTGCAAACAATGGAGTTTTCGGTTTGATGAGCCATTTTGAATTTCTACTTGGATAACACCGCCCTCATCATGAGCATAATACTTGTAAAATGAACTTCTTTCGTAATTAATTACATTAAGCTTAAACTATTCATTAGGAAACGATAAGAGATGCTTGCGTGCTGAAGTGTACAATTTAATTAGCTAATTATAATATGAGTTTTATAAGGGTCTTTTATAAAATAGAATATTAAAAATCACATAAATAATAGTTATAAGGGCGCCTAATATAATCTTATATTAGGGCTTTAGGCGTAGCTCTTAACTTATTTTAAACATATTTGGGTGTCCTCTAGTTTATGAAATCATCAGTAAATATACTTTATCAGTCTAAAACTGAAATGGGTAAAAGGATGTTGATTGCATTGCTAATTCTTAAACCTGTTGTCTTTCTGAGTTTTATTTTAACTGTGTGTAACTCTATTGTGACAAAATTAACTAATGAGTCATATTATGACTGACATTTGTACGTAATATTTAAACGTTCCTTAAATGATAACAGGATAAACCCCTATGATTAATACAAATAAATACAACTATTAAAGCCTTTGACGTTATCAGGAAACTTGACGGAAACGTATGAGTTGGTTAGTTAAAAACGATGAAAATTTAAACTAAGAACAAAAAACTAGCTTAAAATTCGTTTGATCACTCAGAATGAGGATTAAGTTTTCAAAGTTAAGAGTTGCACTCTTGCATTATCAGGGGGAATAAGCAATATTAAAATACTTTGTAGCATTTGTGTCCATCACTAAAGACAAGTAGTCAGCAGTAGACGATAACTAACTCTAAGTCACGACCTAAGTGGCCTCAATAGAGCTGTTTTTAACAACCATCTGTTTTCTTGATGGCCGGTTTAAGGACCATTGCCAAC